ACTGCAAGGTTTGCGTGTAGCTTGGCACAGGTGCTGGCTGGGCAGCTCGACCTTTCCATTTTCACATTTTGGCATGTAAACGGCACACAGCATCGGTTGAATGACAGCCCAGCAGCGAGGAGCATTTCTCAACCCTGAACACAAGAGATTGGGAGATTGTCTGAGAAAATAGTGTCTAATTCTAATTGGCTGTCAAAATAATATTTATTGAGGATATTTATAAAGTTATCTGCATCTAGTGGATATTTAAAGCCTCGGTAAAGTAGTTTTCATTTTCGTGCTTATAGGAAATGGCCCATGGGCAATGGACTTTCAGGAACAATACAGGAAACTTTGGGAATAAGGTGTGAATTTGAGAGGAAGGAGGTGAATTGCTCATTATGGGGCTGTTGTGAAAATTAAGAACATGATGGCATTAATAACTGATGCAAAAGTCATTTAATACTGTATCTTGTCATATCATTTATTGTAATTAACTTTGTTTAATATGAATGGCAAAATCATAAAGGCAAAAAAAAAAGTTTTTTTTATGTTCTGCAAAACATATCTTTTACTCCAACCAATTTGCATGTGAATTGCATTGGAAACATAATGTGTTCAGCAATATTCAACCATACAAAACTGACATACAATCAAAAATGTTAAATATTAAACTGATTTTATTCAGACTTACAGTTACTAAATTATTTAATTGTCCCTAAAGGGGAACATAGGAATAAAAAAAATGCATTTAAATGTATTACATAATAAAATGGTAACTTACCAGACCACATGGCCAATTTCTCCAAGGCTTCCTCTTGAGTTTCTGAGTCTTCAGCCAGAATCAGAGACGTGTGCGTGTACGGCAAAGGTGAACCAAGGCACGTATTGTATTTTAATACTTCACACGTTGTGGATTTCTTACAAAAGTCGTTGAATATAGTTTCATTTGGGTGCAAGATGACCGCCTGAGCGATTATAGAAGTTGCTGCCCAGATCCAAAGCATCCAAAAGCCTTCAACAATGGAGCAGAGGCGCTTGGAGGACATCTTGGAGACCCAACAATGTAGCGATGTTTCATCAAATGTTTCCAAATAAACTGTCGGTCTCCACTCGCGCGCAATGCGCTTCAAACCAAGTCAAAGTGTGGATATTACATAGATTCCCGATTCGACATTTTCCACTTTAAAAGAAGTGTCTTTTTGACCGATTCCAAAGTTTTTTATGCCTCCTTTCTCTCTCACATACTATTGAAAATCTCTTCATCGTACAAACGCGAAGCGTGAAATCTGTAAACAAAAGTTGCGTTTTAAATTCCAGCACGAAGTTTACCCCAGCTGCGTTTTTCGTTACTCTAAATTTTGAAGAAACCAAATAGCGTTCACCATCCCCCACTTTTGTGATGGAGGAAAAAATGTTGCCTTGAAAAGTCTGGGACTGGGACTGTAACTTGATCCTGGGGCTGCGCGCTCCGTCCCCATCGAGCGCGCCTCCGCGTCCCCCAGTTTACAGCAGAACCAGTGCGAGAACTGTTGTCTCGACTCATCTGCTCATCAGACAGAGACCTGAGATCCAGTGATCCCAAAATGTCTTACACTTTCACAGGAATCCCGTTTTTTCCTGACTCTGGTATGCACAAGGAGGGGGTGCACATACACACAAATAACAAAAACTTCTGTTCCCCTCCCATCCCCCTCATGCTGGGGTAAAGCAATCCATGCCAGCCTACAGAATATTTACATGCTTCACTCATACCTACCCTCATGTCTGATCTTATCGTATTTACC